TTTTTTAAATTATCAGTTGCCTACAATTGTCTATATTCATCAGACTCAGGTTAAGCAAATGTATGGTTAGTCACAGGCTGATTATACCTCTCTCTCTCTCTCTCTCTCTACATATATGTATATATATACATATATATATATATATATAAATACATACATATCCTACTTGACTTCCTGAAGAATAGTTTTACAACACTGATAGTACCTCATGAAAGGTGAATAGGACAGTTAAGCAGTACTACAGAAGGTGCAAATTAACTTTTTAACAATATTGGTGGCATGAAATACGGATTACTTATTTAAAATTAAATATCAAAAAAATTTGCAGGCAACCAGTGATATAGCCAGGTTGACTTTGTTTTTTTCAACAGAAATTCAATTTGGGTTTTGTTTAGGTTTCGTTTATTTCAAGTGATTTCATTGAAATGTATGTCTGTGCCTTTATTCAAAGAAAAAAGAATGTAAAGAAAAGATACTGTTATGTATGTATTTTGTTTTATAAACTCATGTGTTCTTCTCTCATTGTTTCCTGGAAAGATGTGTCTATATCACAGGTGTAGTTGTTGCACTTCAAGTTTAAAGTACATTGTGTTATACAACCAAGAACAACTCGTGTGAATGAATAAATCCAAAACAGTCCTTTTTATACTTAAGATTGAATTACAAGTAGTAAAAGAAAGTAAAACATATAAAGCATCAAGAATAAGGTGTGACAACTGCCCAGATTCAAAAAGGATGATTGATTATGCATTCTAAACTGGAAGGTCTTTTTAGATTTAAATGTCCTCTTCTGTATAAAGCATACATATAAAAAACTGAAGCAAAAAAGTAGCTAACTTTCAGTTTACATTATTTCACTTGATATCAAACATCTGAATATTGGAAACATCTAGGTGACCAATATCCTCTCTCTAGCGTCAGAAGTTTACCAATGCTTGGATAAAAGTGGTTTTTCCTCCATTTTATTTTATTATCTTCATCATATCTAATTTTGACCTTATTGCTTTTGCATCATCACTTGATTTTTGACTTAATTATGTTTTCTTTTCTTCACTTATGTGTTCAATGTTTTAACCTTCATGAAGGCCATTATTCTACTAGCGCCTTCAAGAGAGCTGATGACATATTTTTATAAGATCAAAGCATTAATATCTGTAGTGTTTGGATTGAAAGCTTGATGTTGTAAAAGTGATTTCAAAGCACGGACATGCTACACCATGCATCTATTCTTATAATTATCATAGTATGTTTTGTAGTGATCTGGGAGTCTGTCACCTTTCATGAGATGAAAATAGTGATAATTCCTTTACTGATATCTTTTCTAATATGTGCCCCTTTCCTGTGGAAAGCAATGATATACATAGTAAAACTTGGAAGATCTAGTTTATAAATGCTATGGTTTACTGGTTCTGTGGTTTGGGATAGTCACTTACTTTATTTTAAATCAATTCATTCAATACTGAAAATCATATGGTTGGATTAGATGAGTACTTTTACTCTTATGCTACATAATAACTATTATTTTTTTTCAATAAATTTTAAGTCACTTTAGTTTCTTGTACTTTCAGTCAAAGGAATGCAATATAATATTTTTTCATAATTTAGTTATTAATTGCAATTGTAATAATACATTTAAAGATATACAAAACATTAATTTTTATGGAGTTTATGGTATAAATTGCATGCAATTTTGAAGATACAACCCTGTCATCTTCATGTTAAAAAAAAGGCATCTTAGGGATATAATGACATAATATGATTAAGTTAATACTTTCCCTTTTTAATGTAGACAAAGATATTGAGCTAAAATTGAAAAAAGAATTACTCTCAACATATTTTGCAATGTGCTTTAAAGCCACGTCTGTTTATCAGCTAAGATAATATTAAATATCAGCAGCAATACAGCTACACAATTTGGAAAATAGTGAACATGTTAACTTATTCATTTTGTTATATCAAAAGTTATGTATTATTAAAAATCTGCTTATGGAACCCAGCATGGCTACCACATCTGACAGAGGAGTCAGGTAGACAATCAGCTGGATCCTACCTAAGTCCTCATGAGTGACTGGGATAAAACTGAGAAGTGTGTGTTCTCAGTACTACATGCTTTCGTCACCTTGGTGTTAAGTCCTACCTTGATCAAAAAGAATATACTACATGCAAATCCGTTAAAAAGCCAATCAACAGAAAACAGCTGATCACTTCTTGAGCACAAAGTTTGCCTTACATTTATATTGAGGTGACATCATTTTCGGATTTTTGCTGTCCATGATTTATTCCAGTGGAGAACACAAGTACCAAATTCAAATTATTTGTTCATTTCAATTAGTGTATCTCTTTATTTGCACTGTTAATTTTAATGACTATAAAATTCACATTAAACCATTATTTTACTTTAAATTTAAATATGAAATATAATTTTCTTTTTTTAAATGTCAATCACTGACAATTTTTGCTATATTTTCAAATAATTTTAATCTTATAAAATAGCTAGCAAGATTGGTTCCCCAAGTTCACTATGCAGTACTTACTCTACTCTCACTCTTGTATTTCAAGGAACAGCACTTATAATCCTAATCACACAGCTCATAATTTAGGTGACTTTTATTACATGCACTATTCCATGATCATATGACTACAGACAAATCCAGGAGAGTGTTTTATATCATAGTAGGGGAATGGAGCATCATGCAATTTAAAAAAAATTACCTTTCTAAAGGAGACACTTGAAAATTATAAGTAAAAAAGTCCTTTATTAAATTGCACTAATAACACTGTTGTTTAAGTGTTAAAAGTAATGGTATTGGTATAATTCATCTCTGGGAAATAGTTCAGATCTTCATGACATTCAATGAGATTCAGTCCAGTTCAGTTCAGTCGCTCAGTCGTGTTTGACTCTTTGCGATCCCATGATGCAGCACGCCAGGCCTCCCTGTCCATCACCAACTCCCAGAGTTTACCCAAACCCACGCCCATCAAGTCGGTGATGCCATCCAGCCATCTCATCCTCTGTCGTCCCCTTCTCCTTCTGCTCCCAATCCATCCCAGCATAAGGGTCTTTTCTAATGAGTCTACTTTTCACATGAGGTGGCCAAAGTATTGGAGTTTCAGCTTTAGCATCAGTCCTTCCAATGAACACCCAGGACTGATCTCCTTTAGGATGGACTGGTTGGATCTCCTGCAGTCCAAGAGACTCTCAAGAGTCTTCTCCAACATCACAGTTCAAAAGCATCAATTCTTTGGTGCTCAGCTTTCTTCACAGCCCATCTCTCACATCCATACATGACCACTGGAAAAACCATAGCCTTGGCTAGATGGATCTTTGTTGGCAAAGTAATGTCTCTGCATTTTAATATTCAATGAGATTACATCCCAATCAATTCATGATAACCTGAAAATACAAGTTGAAAGTGAATTGAATACATCTAACCTACTGGACATCATAGTTTAGTCCAGCTTACCTTAAACATATTCAGAATACTTACATTAGCCTGCAGTTGAGCAAAATCATCTCTCATACTTTGACAACTGAATGCAAAGAGCCAACTCACTGGAAAACTCTCTGATGCTGGGAAAGATGGAGGGTAAGAGAAGAAGGGAGCAACAGAGGATGAGACTGTCAGATGGCATCACTGACTCAAAGGAAATGAGTTTGAGGAAACTCAGGGAGATAGTGAAGGACAGGGGAGCCTGGAGTGCTGCAGTTCATGGGTTCCTAACGAGTTGGACATGACTTAGCTATTGAACAACAGCAATCTAACATGAAGCCTATTTTTAACAATCTAACAAAAAGCCTATCTCATGTAAGTTATTGAATACTCCACTAAAAGTGAAAAACAGAATTGCTGTCTGGTACGGAATGGTTGTTAAGTGCCTCCGTTCTTTACCTGTGTGATCACCAGGCTGACTGGAGGCTACTGTGACTTACTGCTCAGACCCAGCATTATAACAGAGTATCATATCACCTATAGCTAGCTCAGGGAAAAGATCAAAATTCAAGTACAGTTTCTTCTTGATGCTTGCTATGCTCATACTATCATAAAGTCAATAAAGTTGCAACATAAACCACCATGAGTCGAGGAATGTCTGTAATGCCTGTTCTGTACTGTAAACCATGTGCTCAGTTGACTCACTGCAGACCCATGGATTCACAGCCCACCAGGTTCTTCTGTCCATGGAATTTTCCAGGCAAGAAGTGTGCATTGGGTTACCATTTCCTACTACAGAGGATATTCTTGACACAAGGATCGAACCCATGTTTCTTGTGTCTTCTGCATTGGCAGACAGGTTCTTTACCTCTAGAGCAACCTGGGAAGCCTGAACAATTATATTTTGAAAATTTAATAGAATTTATTTTTATTACTATCAATGTAACAGAATATTTGAAAACAATACTGAAGAAATGAGCTATGGTTCCTAAGAAAAATATAATATCATTAATTTATTAACTAATTCTAGTAATTTGTTAAAATTAACTTTAATGGCTTGTTAGCAGCTTTTATATGATTGTGATCACATTGTAAATATTTTCTTTCATTTTATTTTTTTTCAGATACTCAATTATTTGCAGATAGCATATAATATATGGAAAGTCAGAGGAATATCTCAGAATTTATTTTTTGGGGACTTTCCTATAACCAAAACATACAAATATTTTGCTTTGTGTTCTTCTTATTATGTTACATTGCCATCTTGGTGGGAAACCTTCTGATTCTTGTCTCCATCCGATATAGCCCTCTTTTTCACCAACCAATGTACTATTTCCTTAGCCACTTATCCTCCATGGACATCTGCTATACCTCTTGTGTGACACCCAAACTGATCAGTGACCTGCTCCTGGGAAGGAAAGCCATCTCTTATGGTAACTGCATGTTACAGGTCTTTTCCTTGCACTTCTTAGGAATGATTGAAATCTGCATCCTTACAGTCATGGCCTTTGACCACTGTGTTGCCATCTGCAAGCCTCTCCACTACACGATTATCATGAACAGGACAAGATGCAACCTCCTCATCGTGGCTGCTTGGGCTGGTGGGGCCGTCCATGCCTTTTCTCAGTTCTCTATGATAGTCAGTTTGCCCTTCTGTGGCTCCAATGAAATTGACCACTACTATTGTGACATTTTTCCTTTGTTGAAAGTTGCCTGTACTGATACCTACATCACTGGTGTCCTGGTGGTTGCCAATTCAGGAATGGTTGCCTTAGTAACCTTTGTTCTCTTGTTTGGGTCCTATGTCATTATATTACTCACCTTAAGAAACCACTCAGCTGAAGGAAGGCGCAAAGCCCTCTCTACCTGTGAGTCTCACATCACTGTAGTTATCTTATTTTTTGGTCCTTCAATCTTTGCCTACCTCAGACACCCTACCACTTTCCCTGAGGACAAAATATTTTCTCTCTTTTATACCATCATTGCTCCTATGTTCAATCCCTTAATCTACACTCTGAGAAACACAAAGATGAAAAAGGTCATGAGAAGGGTTTGGTACCAAAAGATGTTTTCAGAAGAGAATCATAATTAATTTCCCCTACTCAATGTGTTAAAACCTCTATGTGGAAGTAAAAGTGGACTTGGGAATTGTAGAACTCAATTAACTTTCAAATCACAGAGCCCAGATTATTTACTTTATAAACGTCAGAGATGATGAGTTGAAAACTTATGAGAAAAATGACAATTCCATTGGTCACTCTGAGATTTGGTAGGGACTTATGTGATTAAAAGCATATTAGCTTAAAGAAACTGTTGCTATGTTATAGATTAGGCAATTCTAATATTGACTGTGAATTAAAAAAATAATTTGCTTATGATATTTGTACATGAAGACTAGATAGGAAATACCTAAATTTGTTTTCAAGTTAATTCTTTAAAGACATATCTAACCTTACACTCTGCCTTGGGTGTTTCACTGACTTATGTATGGTTTTAAGGCATCTTACAGATTTTTTCATATATTAATTATGACATATAATCCATAAAGAAATGAAAAACAAAAACAAAACAGAGACAGAAAGACAGAACTATGAAGGAAATAAACCTGTACTCTGTACCTGAATCAAGAAATAGAGCACAATAATAATCTCCAAAGTCTAATATCCATTCCTTCCTGTCCTCACTGCTTCCATCACCTAGAAGTAGCTACCCTTCTGACTTTTATAGGTACCGTCCTCTCTGCCTGGTGTCGGTCATTGAGAGGACACGACCACTGCTAGAGCAATGAGATGGGCCCTCCTCATTTGTCCTCCCATTCTTGAATTTGAGTTCCATTTATTGTCCCAGTTTTTGCCTTTTCATACTGTTCATGGGGTTCTCAAGGCAAGAATGCTGAAGAGGTTTGCCATTCCCTTCTCCAGTGGACCACATATTGTCAGAACTCCCCTCCATGACTCGTCCATCTAGAGTGGTCATAAACGGCATGGCTCATAGTTTCATTGAGTTAGACAAGGCTGCGATCCATATGATCGCTTGGTTTAGTCCATCCTAAAGGAGATCAGCCCTGAATATTCATTGGAAGTACTGATGCTAAAGCAGAAGCTCCAATCCTCTGGCCACCTAATGTGAACAGTTGACTCACTGGAAAAGACTCTGATGCTGGGAAAGACTGAAGGCAGGAGGAGAAAGGGATGACAGAGGACAAGATGGTTGGATGGCATCACCCACTCAGTGGAAGTGATTTGAGCAAGCTCTGGGAGATGGTGAAGGACAGGGAAACCTGGCTTGCTGCAGTCCACGGGGCTGCAGAGTTGGCCACTACTGAGAGACTAAACAACATCACCCCATAGCTGGAGACATTTTCAAGGATGCAGACTTGAGATAGTAAGGTGTTGTTGAGACCATCTGGACTGAATATGTGAATGAACCCAGGAAAGGCCTGTATATGATCTTAAATTTTCTGACATAAAGATGCAAAGATCTGCTTGTCTTAGAACCATCCGTGACAAGCCCCCCATGTAAGGCCCCTTGTTTAGTAAAAGTGCCACCTCCAAACTGGAGTGGTCTGACTCTTTTTTCAGTCTCTCCCTGCCTCCTTATATGGGGCCAGTTTGCCAACAAAGACCTCGAAACATTAGGCACATTATAAATTAATTATCTGTTATTGATTTTACTCATAAGTAAATTTAGGAGACTTAGTGCCTTTCTCACTAGGACCTTGTTAATATGAAAGAGAACCCTTGGTATATGACACAGAGTAAATCCTCACTACACATTTGCTATTATTTATTTTGCTCATATAGCACATTGGAAGCAACTGAATCTTCAGAAATAATGGGAAAGAAGAAAATAAGGAAAGAAAGGCCTTTGGAAATGATACATTTGGGGAAAAATTAAAACATGTTCAACTGAAAATTTTTTCTATTATTTTTGGAAGTTTTCTAAATTCATAAAAATAACACCAAGGTTTATTAGCTTATAATTTTCTAGGAAATCAATACTTGAAGATAAAGTAAAACCCATTCGAACTCTCTCAGGGAAGACGATCTTTCTGGGGAGAGATGAAGACTATTAACTGCCCTAAGTTTTAGTTCAGCTCAGTGCTTGGTCTTGTCCGACTCTTTGCGACCCCATGAATTCTAACCCGCCAGGCTCCTCTGGCCATGGGATTTCCCAGGCAAGAATACCCAAATGGGTTGCCATTTCCTCCTCCAGGGGACCTTTCTGACTCTGGGAGTGAACCCTAGTACCAGAGCTGTCCTTTGTCTCTCGCTCAGACTACAGAACGAGAAGGCAATGGCACCCCACTCCAGGACTCTTGCCTGAAAATCCCATGGATGGAGGAGCCTGGTAGGCTGTGGTCCATGGGGTCACTAGGCGTTGGACACGACTGAGAGACTTCACTTTCACTTTTCACTTTCATGCATTGGAGAAGGAAAGGGCAACCCACTCCAGTGTTCTTGCCTGGAGAATCCCAGGGACGGGGGAGCCTGGTGGGCTGCCGTCTATGGAGTCACACAGAGACGGGCACAACTGAAGTGACTTGGCGGCAGCAGCAGCAGCAGATTACAGAAATCATGGAAAGGATAAGCCCTCAAGGCAAAAAATCCCACAAAGTTGTTTATATCACAAAACTCTGAAGTGCAAGGGAATTCAGTCACTGAGGCCCAAGAGGAATGAATGTCTAATAACTGAGCTTCCTAAATCACACACAAAAGCTAGTGGTGGCCTGCATACTATTTATAATCCAGCTTTGATGTTCACTTCAGTGGATCTGATGACTTGGATCTAGAGGAAATCCACTTGGTGAGCTCATGATTCGGGAACATAAACCCAAACAACTTGCAAAACATAGTGTTCTAGAATAAGATATGTATATAGTTTTAGAATGTACACTTTATTTTTGTTTATTAGTTATGTGAACCTGAACATTGTGGGGAATAACCTTAGAGATGAAAATGTAGAAGGTGATTAGACTCTTGTGGATATTCACATTAGGCCACTCTCTTCAAACTCTTGCTCTGAGGGTATGTCCTCTCACTGTGTGAACACTGGTTGAGTGACAGTGTCTCTACAATGACACTTTTATTTCTCTACGAATGGCTAATGAGTGAGGTTGAGAGATATGTGAATTCAAGACACAAAATGAAATACTCTGAACAGTAGGTGAATGACCAGAATTTCAGTGAGGAAAGAATGGCCAGATTGAAAGAAGTGATATGAATGGACTCACGACAATTGGATTGGAAGGACATGTGTGGTGAATGATTTTTCCTCCTTTCCATGATCCTGCCTGACTGTGTGATAGCTGAATATATTTACCTTTTACTGCATAGATAACAGATTGACTGCTAGTTAAAATTAAGTATAGGTACCATCTCTGATTTTTATAATTTGCTTTGTGATTAGAGTAGCAATAAATTCAAGGAGTTGCCTGTTGAGTGTGCTCTGATGTTCCAATAGGAAATCAGACAGTGATAGGGAAATCATGCTTTGCTGAACAAGAGGAAAATAGCATTAAGACTTTTGGTAGAAAATGGGCAAAGTGCTCATTAAGAAAATAAATGACTCACAGATTACCAAGAAAGTGAGGAAAAAACAAATCCAAAAGAAAAATAAGATCCCTCCTGTACCCATTGTCACGACCCATGATCCCCCGTCCTGACAAAAAAGGAAGAAAAGATGGCTCAAGAATTAAATTAATCAAAGACTCCAGGCAGGCCACAGAAAGTCGAAAGGAGATATCTCAAAATTTGAGTCTTTTTACTTTATCTCTATATACCTTGCCCTCCACCCATGTTTCCTGTAATAAATGTGATGCTGATAACTTCACTGATTTGAATACTTTATATACCATTTTAAAACAACTGAAGTTATTCCAACAAATAGTTATTGATTATTGGTTAAATAAATGGTATCTTGTAATCATTTCAGCTCCTCACATTTGGGTAGGATCATGGAAAGGAGGAGATATAACTCCCCACACATGTTCTTCCACTTCAAATGTTGTGACTCCATTCATATCACTTCCTTTCAGTCTTGCCATTCTTTCCTCATTTCGGTCATTCACCTACTGTTCAGAGTATTTCATTCTGTGGCTTGAATTCACATTTCTATCAATGTCACACATTAGCCATTCATAGAAAAAAATGATTACAGAGATACAACAAAGATAAAATCATTGGAAATATTTATTGAGCCTCTAATACATATTGGCTAACTCACACCTCTTATCTAATTAATTCTTGCAACAGATGTGGGGATAGACATGCTCATCAACAAAGTGCTCACCTGCTGGCAATATGATAATCTAAGAAAAATCAGCAGATGTCAAATTCTGGAGAAGATTTGACAGATGCAGATCCAGGAGAAGTGTCTAGAATTTAAAATTAAGCACGTACAGGCATTTCTTAATATTCTAGGCAGAATGTAGGATGGTCTTTCTTTCCTTGAGAAATTTAAATTCATGAAGATTAAGGATGTATAAATTTACTTTGACATAGATTGAAATCTGAAATATTGGAGTCAACGAAGCTCTCTTTTCCAAGTATTAACAGCTTCATGTATTTACTGGACATGCATAAAGTATCAGGAACTATGGTAACTGTGTAACATTTTACCAAGTGTATTGCTAAGTAAGATATATGCTGTTTTAGATCTTGACTCTACCACTTATTAAGACCATCTTGCACTAATTTTTAATTTTTCTAAAACTCATTTTCCCCATTTGTAAGCTAAGTTTACTACTAATATTTATTAGAGTTATAGAGATGGTTGAAAAATTTGTTTACACAATGTTTAGAAGAAAGTTAGGCACATGAAAATGTGAAATTGTAAACTAATAAAAGAATTATTAGTCTGTTAGTGTAATTAAATAACATATTGAGGCCATATACTCACTCTTAGCAAAGCCAGAATATAAACCCAAGTAATTTTATTTCCTTAATTTTAATGTTTTCCCAAACTTTACCTTTAATAAAATAATAGTGGAAAACCCCAGGGTTGTGTAAAATCTTAACTGAAGAATATATTATTAAATTGTCAAGACTATATTCATCATTTGGTATATATATAAAATTGAATTTAGACTTC